ATCCACGACCATGTTTCTCCACTCCTGAGCGTGGGTGCTCAGAATGCCCCGCGTATTTTGGGGAAGGGGGGCAAAATTGCGCTCAAGACTACAACTACTCGGGGCAAACGGAACAACAAGACCATGGCGACCCCTGCCACGCTGTCCGTGAATTTCTGCAATATCAGGGGACTTCACTCTAACCTAAACGCCGTCCACTACCGTCTCGAGACGGCGAGGCCGGCTCTGCTCTTTCTGACCGAGACGCAGTTGTCCTTTCCGGTTGATGTCTCGTATCTCACCTACCCGGGGTACAAACTGGAACACTCCTTTGTGCCTCGGGCTGGAGTTTGCGTTTACGTCAGAGAGGACATCTGTTCTCGACGCCTCGGCAGTCTTGAAGGTTCGGACCTGTCCATCCTTTGGCTATGCGTAGACAGCGACGACCATCCGCGCGTCTACGGGTGCCTCTATAGGTCCCATAGCGGTAATGCCGAAACAGACCGACTCTTCGACCACGTCCAAATGGCTACAGATTCGTTGTTACAGCAGATCCCCTCCGCAGAGATCGTGATCCTCGGCGACTTTAACGCCCATCACGCCGAATGGCTTAGTTCACGTTTAACCGATCAGATCTGTTCATGATTTTGCCTTGGCATATGGTCTGACACAACTAGTTACTTCGCCTACGCGGATTCAAGATGTGGAGGATCATGCACCTTCCCTGTTGGACCTTCTGCTGACCTCTCACCCGGACGGATATCAGATTTCCGACGACGCCCCTTTAGGCTCCTCGGACCATTGTCTTGTCCGGAGTGTGGTGCTCACTCACGCTGAAATCGCAGTTGTATTCTGCAGGCTGGCGCCGTGTTTGGCACTATAGGTCAGCCGATTGGGATAGGATGCGGGCTTTCTTTGCATACTACCCTTGGGGGCGGGTTTGCTTCTCGCCGGACGATCCCAACGTTGTTGCGGATTCTGTCGCTGATGTGGTACTTCAGGGTATGGAACTTTTTATTCCTTCCTCTGTGGTGCCCATTGGAGGCAAATCTCAGCCATGGTTTGGTCGCTTCTGTAAAATAGCATCATGATAGAGGCAGGAGTGCTACCAATCCTGGGCTGATGCATCAATGTCCCGGGATGTAAACACCAGCGCTCTAAAGTATACGCGGCGGTAGTCATTTAACAGCAGGGGAGCCGCATGCTCGTCTGCCCCCTTTTCTATAAAAAAAGTTACAGCCTATATACGTCCCACTCCTGGGAACAGGCTCAAAAGTTTTAGGGCGGGGGTCCGCGGGAGATAACTTAAATAGTACTTGTATAGAAAGACTCTATTTGGTTCTCTGTATGCATATATATATTTACGAAACAACTCATTTCCGAGAAAGAAGACCACGCTATCATCGAATACCAGCAAAACATAGTAGCTTAATGCTGCTGTGTTTCGTATGGTGAGTGTAGACAACCGGAGAACCTTTTTAATGGAAAAGAGGGATTCCATCTTAGTCCTCACGGCTGTCGACGTATCTGCATTTTAAATCGCAAGTAAAGATAGATGTAGATGTCTATGGCTGTAGCAACCACTTACCATCAGGTGGACTGTGTGCTCTTGTCACCCTTATTCTATTAAAAAGTCTAACAGCTTAGTAAGCTGAAGTCAAATATTCCAAGAAACTTGCCGAGTTATGGGTATTCATAAAACAAGAACGACTTCTTACCACCCGCAATCTGATGGAATGGTAGAACGATTCAATCATACATTGGAATGGTACCTAGCAAAAGTTTTGTAAAATCGGCAACGAGACTGGGACTAGCACATACAACCGTTTTTGTTGTCATATCGAAGCGTGTCCAATGCGTGTCGGCGAACTTCATAATATGTTTTTATTTTTGATTATTTCTCAAACATGCGGATTTCCTCACGACGTTTTCCTTTACCGCCGAGCACGTGGTAAATCAGCAATTAAAATAATTTAAAATTCCAATTAGCAATATCATTGGTGCCCGCGGGGATCGAACCCGGTTTGCTCACGTGGTATATAGGCTGTAACTATACGTAGTTTAAAAGTATTTAAATCATTTTTCGAAGAAATTTATCGATAATGGAAGTTTCTATACTCCATCACAAAGAATTCTCATACGATTTTCGTTATTTATAAACCTTAATAATTTTTGAAATGAAAATTTCTTTAGTCATGTTGGGACATTTTTGGGATGGGGAAAAAAGCACTGGATTCACGTGACTGACACGCTAAGATACATAAAATTGATGTATGTATAAATTCGTTTGTATTTTATAAATATTAATCATTCTTTTTCATATAAAACATCGCAATTAATCAAAATATTATTAGTATATTAATACGTTGATAAAAATAATTTCTAATAAAAAATAATTCCCACAAAATTATTTCTTAACAACCCAAAAATAATGTTTATAAATTTACAAAAAAAAAGCGAAATTACAAGGTTTCCTCGTTGAAGTTGTACGTTTTTCGTTTGTTGCATGAAATAAAATTACTTGGTGAAAATAGTTCATTTTCTCTACTACAATAAGATCAGAGCAAATTTTAGATAACTTATTTATTTGTTTAGTAATAACCGTTCTCCCGGTGCATGTTTAGACCAAAACTCTCAGAGACATGATTTGGGAGTTCTAATTTGTAGGTTCTATTGAATATCGACCATCATAAAATATTTTTATTTCACAAATATCCTATTCTTTAATAATCATAGAATACATTTTCGTTAAATACCTTTCATGTAAATAAAAAAGAAATCGACATAATTCAAATAACGACCGAAAAAGTTTCGATATAAGCCCCAATATCTCCGAAGTTCTGCACCATTTGACGTAAAATTTATACCAAAATAATTATCAACATTTGGTTAAACTATACTATTATTTTTACTTTTTGAATCATTACTGTTATTTTATAACTTATTAAATAAAACTACAGTATATTTCCCCGCGCCGGTCAGTCATCTGAAATCATTACCGCGCGAGCGCTTGTCGAGGTTGGACCTGCGCCAGTTGATTTCGCACGCTGCGCCATTTCAATAATATCATAGTGTGCGTCGTTTGCCGTATAGGCGCTGCTATTTTGTGCGTGCTAGAGCATTGTCAAATACAACCGCAGTTTTTGATCGTTGGAAGTATTTATTTTCGTTCAGTATATTTCAATTAGTATAAGGTTCACACATTATTATTATACCAAATAGTTAACTCATTAGATTTTTTTTATTGTAGCTGAGATTTCTTACGAGTCGGAATGGGGAAAAATAAATATTGGTATCAATGCGTCTAATAATACTAAAATCCAATCTTTGGAGAAATAATCATTGAGAATAAAATGTCTGCATACTTGCCATATTGGCTGGCTCAGATTATGCAGTAAAAGTACTAAAAATCTACAAAGACGACCAATTTTGGATTATGGATACGATACCCAAGTACAAGCGTTTTATGAAAAGTGTGTACTGTCTGAAATTATCGACTTGAGATAAACTCGGTCAATGCTGTTGCGCCATATATTTTTATAATAAAAAAATATGGTAACTGGCTGTAAGTACCAGTTAAGAAAAATTAGTTTAATTTGGTTGTTTTATTTATTAAAAAAGGGTTGCAACCGTACTATTTATTTAATTATACCACTATGCTGCCGTTAGTAGACATAATCGATTATTAACCAATATCGGTTAACAATAGATTACTGCATAACAATTAAAATATTTATGTGTAACTATTTCAACACTAAGTTTCACAAATAATAAAAAATATATCAAAATAGATTATAATAAATTAGTTAAATAACACAAAAATTACACACCAAAAAATTTTCCATCCTGTTACTGAAAAGTTTTTTTTATTTTGTGCGAAAAACATCGTGTCTGATTGAGGTAGCTGAAGAACGTTCTTTGTTGCAATATTTAGGGGAGGTCTATGTTAACACTGATAATTCAAATGATGTGAATGTAGACCCTAACACACATGAGTAATAATATAAATTTCACAGTACGCAAGCAATATGCAAACGGCTGCCATCAATTAAATTAGGTGACTTATCAGGTGCTCTGAAAAACTCTGGTGAAAGAAAAAATAGTGAGGAAACCTGCGTATTTGATGTATAAACATTTTTCATCACTTCTGGTATTGCATTACGTCTCATCATAATCACAATCGGTTTCCTCATCCAGAGATTAGGTGGGACAGACAGATTTATGTCTTAATGCAAATTATGATATTGCAGACAGACTCACCAATTTTATTTACGTAATACTAATATGTATAGATAAAGTTAAATATTAATTTTGACGAGTTGAAGACTTAAAATTTAAAAGTATGATTGTCTATCAAAATAAATTTATTTCATAAATATAGTTATATAATAAATAATTTGCTTATTGCTATAGTGCCTATAATAACATTAAACGCAAATGTGTTGTAAAGAAAGACAAAAATTAAATTAAGTTATCACTTTAAAATCTAAACTGAACATTTTAATAATTATGATAGAGCGTTATCCATTATAATGCAACTTAGTAAAATACATTTATTTCTCTCAATTTCACTTACGTACATAATAAAGTGCACCTAGAATGTCTAGGCGACAAAAATAAAAATAATGTTTTGCTTAATATTTAAACAAGACTACACTTTCCAAATGGAGTTAGTTAATTGACATACGATTATTATAATACATTTTATTGTGAATTAAAATTAAATGCATGTTAAAATTATTCACGTTTAAAGTTAGATAAAATAATCTATTGTACAATATTGACTTAATATCACAGTAAATGGTATAAATTATTTATTATGGTAATGACTGATTTAAAAGTGTGTTCAAACTTCGTTAGTGTAATTAATCGTTTTTTAAGTATACACAAATGAATATTTGTACATTTTTAATTTAGTCGTCTTATATACGTTCATCTGATTACGATGATTTTAGTGACCGACCACTCTGCCAGTCGGTTGTTTCGAGTTGCACCTAACCATCTAATTACTGAACGAGTCTTTACGTAATGAGAGCTTTCTGTTTCTCATTATTCAAATCGTCTTCGTTCCCGTCAATTTCAGCATCTTCGGCTTTTCTGAAAAGTATATTTTATGTTTGTTGGCGACGCGCCTATAAGAATATTTCAGTTTATTAAGTCAACCGATGACGTATAACTTTAAAAAAAGCAAATTATCGAGCAACGACGCTCTGATAAGAAAATGCTTAGTTAAATCTTAAAGAAATATCGAATTAATGATATGAAGGTCTTGGGTTCGACTCCCAGGCCGGACTAGTTTATTTGTTTTCCTAAGTAATATCGCTTAATAAATTCATATAGGGAATTTTAAGATATAAATTATGTTACCGGATTGGTTCCCCGGTTAAAATCATCTTTCTAATGATGTAAATTCATAAGAATATTAAAGTGAAATTAGAGATCGGATTTGTTCCCCGGTCGAGATAATCACTCTGTGCATAAACAGAATTAACGGAAATTAATTGCATAAGTATTGTCTTATATGAGTTTGATATGTTTTATACAAAAACAAATGCCTATTTGTTATGATTGATTAATGAGAACGTTCATTTATATTGTTATCAGATAAAAATCTGATTAAAGATAGTTTCATACAGTTCGAAAATTGTATAAAAGCATTTAATTTGCCAAATATTGATAAAATTGGTGAATTTCAGAATTTCATTTTTTCTGATAGCCGAGAGCCGTGCAAAGTTAGTTGTTCACATAGCGTGAGTACACGGAAGCACGCTGGCCACGCCCTTAGGAGGCCGAATATGTAAAAATTTAAAACATTTGTAATTTCAACAATTTATGTAAAAATGACTTGTAAAACATTTCAGGTTGATTGTATGTGCTAAAAAGGTGAATTCTGTGTTATTTTATGTGAAAATTCCTGTGTATAAGTGAAATAATGATAGTTTTGTATAAGAAATTTAAAAGTGTTTTAAATAGTGAAATAAATAGAGAAAATGTAAATTAAATTATTGTATCAGCTAACTTATGTATAAATTCAAGTGAAAAACATTGTTTTAACCTTCTGTGTTAAATATTTAAGAAATTTCGGTTTCGAACTTGTGATTAAAATAGGCAGTTTTCGTTTAATAAATAAAAGGTTTTTTGTGATATGAAAATATAATGTATATTGTAGTGTAGATATTGTTTTGTACTACCTATATTGACAAATTGTATTTATGTATGACTTAAGTAAATAAAGGTATTGAGTGAAACGTGAGAGAGTAATAGAACAAATTCATGTAATTGAGTTGCGCAAGCGCGCGTATGGCGCGGCTCACTTTCGCGTATAGCTCGGGGGTAGCTTAGTAAATGAGTTTTATTGCAATTCGTTCGGGGAAAAAGTTCGGGGATCTTACCAGCAGTCAATAAGAAGAATCGTATATATATATCGCCCCTGTGTGTTACTCCGTTGCGGAGATCACATACGTTGTTCCCGAACCCAACGTAGGCGTTATAGGAGGCCGGATCGAGAGAAGCCTCGATTCCTCCCTTCTGTTTCTTAGTTTGAATAAGTTGAGTTCCTTTTCAATTGGTCCTTCGCGGCCGGATTGAGAGGACCCCGAACCTGAGTCCTTTTCAATGTTATTAGTATCGACTCTTAGTGTTGCCGAGCCGGGTCGCGGTCTGAAGGGTTAGAGCGTTCGTATAATATCTGTAACAGGCTGGTAGGCATCCAATTAAAGAATAGGTACGAAATCACAACGTTTTACATTCCATCTTGGTCCTCAGAGGTGATAGTGCATCTGTGGCTTTCTTTATTTGAAGTTGACTGCAGGTGGTCCATGAACTTCTGTAGCCACTTACCATCAGACATTCAGATGTTTGCTTGTCACTTCGCTTGCGCTTCCAGTAGCAATGAAATTATTAGTTTCAATTTTAAGTGCTGATTTACCATGTACTAGATGGTAAAGGAAAACGTGAGGAAACCCACATGTCTGAGAAATAAAATATTTCGAAAACGATGTGAAGTTTGCCAACATGCACTGAAGCAGCGCGGCGGTCTTATTAGGTACTTCGAGACCCTCTAAGCGTGGGGAAACCAAAAAACCTAAAAGCGCCCCATATCATGGGTATTGAATCTCGTGTACCTACAGGGTGTGTCTATGACCTCGAGCTCGCCAGCGAACGCGGTGTGCCCTAATGTTTTGTATTAGTGTAATGTCTGACGTGCGCGTATGCGCGTGCGTGTACGTGCGTGCGTGCGTGCGTGCGTGCGTGCGTGCGTGCGTGCGTGTGTGTGTGTGTGTGTGTGTGTGTGTGTGTGTGTGTGAGTGTGTTGTAGATAATCGGATTCAATCTCCTTTAGAGGAAGGGAGGAGTACGAGAATTACCATTCTTGGGACGTCTCCTGGGGAGGGGGGACCGCATCCCGCTCTGGGGAGTACGAACCCGCCTCTATTAACAACGAATTTTGAAGCTTTTTTTATCGAATGGAAGTATCTTAAGGATAATTCCTTAAGATACGAGTGAATGGTAGACATGTCAAGGTCGCGGTGGATATCCACGTTTCTCACACATAAGGGAGCTCCTGTGATTCGACGCAGAAACTTGTTTTGGACAAATTGAAGTTACCGAAGTCGATAAGGTTGGTGAAGGCTCAACGATGTGACTTATATAAGCTGTAATTTCACTTATTCTTTTAAGACTGTAGTAGCCACAGAAATAGTAATAATAAAACAATAGAATGAATTAGAGCTCGGTTACTTCGAAAACCGATGTCGCCACATCTTAACACATACGTATTAAGCGACCCATGCCTGCAGCCTTATTATAAATACATATATATATGTATTATAAATACATAATATTGATATCTAATGTTACATTACACATTACGTTGCTTGGCGAGTTTGTCAACGTCACGTGCGTCGTGTATTACGGCAGAACAAAAGCAACAAAGGTAAATATCATAGAGCTACAGTAGCCTACTAGCAGGGCGCGGACCGCCAACTCAAAAAGGTCGTGGCTTCGAATCCGCCATTCGACTACTGGCGTGAACCACTCGTAAAACAAGCAATTTAAGCTTACCACGAGTGGTTAAGGGGAATATTAGTAATGTTTATAGTATTGTTAATATTCTTTTTAAAAAAGTATTCATTAAGATTAAAAATTAGTGAAAACAATGATAATTAGTAAATAATCAACTTATCGACGAAATGTTATGCCTTTATTAGTTGAATTACACGTCCTTGATGAGTTTTTACAACTGCTACATTACGCTGCAGTTCCCATTATAATAACATCAATTCTCGTACGACGTTCCCCATGCTACTAAATCATAAAATGGTGAATAATTTCGTCAACACATCGTAGCGGTGACAAGGTCACGCGTATATGCGACTTGTATTGTCTATTATTACGATTTCTGTGGTAGTGGCTGAGAAAAGCAAGTGGCTCTTGGCCTAAAATTTTAAGCAACAACAAAGCATAGGTAACGCAAGTGTACTGATTTCGACCCTTGACAGCAAAATTGTTAGTTGCAATTTTTACTCATTCTCTGAGAAATGAGGGAGGGCAAACCAAGGAAACCTATTTTTCAATGTTATTGTTTTTAATGTATTTGTACTAAACTTATTTTCTAGCGACTGATTGAAGGTAAAGGGCGTAATAGCCGCTCTACACTAAGTCAGATTCGCGGGTGAGAGGTGTGAAGAGGTGCGAACATTGTGCTAACACATACTGAGGAACCGATTCTACACTTCGTGCATTGTTCTTTTTGTTTTGTCAGTTTTTCTTAGGCACGACTTGAAAGAAGTGTAAACTTAGTGCGAATTAAGACTCCATCAGTACACCCCTTCAGCTTAGGAACATTTTATTGAGAATAAATGTACCTATTATACATTATAATTATTAATTACGACACGATAAAGACACTCAATTAGGCATTTATTGTTATTTATTAAATAACTTGTAATTAATAGCTACCTTATAAAAATATATTTGCAGATTTTTTCACGTAAATTTACCGATAATAGAAGTTTCTATATCCAATTTAAATGAATACTTATAATTCACCATTTCCGTTATTTCCTAAGCTTACTATTTTTTTATATCTAATTTTATTCGTAATACACAATTTCATATATTATAATTATAGTACACTAATGCCCTATAGTTAAAGATAAGTTCCTTTTGCTGTCCTTCAACTATGTGAGCCTTTACACGGGAAAAAATATTTTTTTTTTTATTTTTATCGTGGTATTTTCTCGCCACGATAACGCGCGCGATTTTCGGAGTAAGTGTAGAGCGGGCATTACAAATTCATTGATACTAACCACGCGTAAAGTAAAGTGCCCATGATTATTTCTTTATTTTTAAATGTTATTATTTTTTTCTATGTGGTTTACCTATTACATTATATTTTTTCCCTCTAGTAAGAAGATCATCCGGTATACTTTCGCAAAATAAAAATAAATTTTCACGGCAGTTGGCTAAAAGAAAAGCGAAAGCTGTATTACCCGCATAAGGTGTGCGCGGTGACTAATCTCTCAGCCTCGTAGATAGTCTGCGGCATGGTGCGGCCCTTGGTCTCGGGCAGCAGCAGGCCGAAGCCACTCACCAGCAGCCCCGCCGCGCCCAGCAGCAGCAGCGGCAGCGGTTGCCAGAATCGTTCCTGACGCACAAAACACCCCCTTTTAAAGTACCTCCTCTTTTTAACACGCTTTTATTAGCTTCGCGTGTATCTATTTGTCTATCTATGTAAGGGAATATTTTAATGTAATTTTCACCAACTTGTTGACGGCCGATCGACTTGAAAATTTGCACTCGTATCCAGCACCGACGGTAGTACAATAATTTAATAACTTTATCCAAGTACCCTGATCAGAATCACCATAGCTCTTGATCAACGCGCGTTGTTTTAGTTTATTCAAACTTTTACAGTTTTCCTATCCGCGAAAAAGACACAATAGTTGAACGATTGATATGTTCATATATTATTCACGAGACAGGCAAAGGTTTAATATTATTATTCATCGGTACAGCTTTATATGAACATACGTCTCGTCTAAGGAATACCATAAAAACGGTTCTGAGTCATTTACATTTTAAGGGAATATACCACTCATAAAATACATACATAATACATAATATGTATTTTATAAGTGGTAGAGACATGTTGCAGCTATATTATAGTTGTAGCACGAATGGGTCAGCTCATCTGGGGAAGGGCCACGCTCTCACGGAATACCAGCGTAAAACAGCCGCTTAAAGGAGTCCGCACACTAATGGGAACGGAAAGGGATCGTAACCGTATCGCCTCGAGTCGTTCAGAATGGTTTGTATTTAACTCCCTACTGCAACGCACACTAATCGGAATCGTACCGTGATCGCCTCCCCCTCAGAACAGGCTCCGAACTTGCAATTCCCGCGCTTACGGCTCCTTACGTCTCTCCGTCCCCGCGCTTACGTCTCTCCGTCCCCTGTCCCCTCCTGCGACTTGCGTGCTAAAGAGAAAGACGCCGCCACGCCATCAGTGTTGCCACCTTAGTGGATTTTCCACTAAATCTGGTGGTTTGGAACCCCCTTTTAGTGGCAAATTTTTGCTTTTAGTGGCTAGTGGTTTTTTTAGCGGATTAGGAATTTTAAAAGTAACGTTGCCTACACATAAGATAGATATCTTTACTCAAAATATTCGTGACTATTTGGACCAAAGATGCTACCTGGGATTCCGATTCGAAAAACAGATTCAAGAAATGAAAGAGAAAGGTTTTCCACGGGAAGAGGAAGAAGTATTGCGGAATAGGTGCATACAGTTTATAGGTTGTCTGATTGACGAAATAAAAAACAGATTGCCGGAAAATATTACTCTCATGAAACAAATATCCCGTATAAGTCTCGAAAAAGCCCTGCATCACAACAAAGAAAATCTGGTTGATATAATGGCTCGGTTCGTAACAAGTACAGAATTAATTGCAAAAATTGACGATCAATGGCAGCAAATTCATTTACTGAGATGGAATGAAACAAAAGATACAAAAAAATTTTGGAGCAAAGTCTTGAAATTCAAAGATGCATAAGGTCTTGCTCGATTTCAAGAATTAGCAACATTTGCGATTACACTTTTGGTATTGCCACATTCGAATGCCGATGTGGAAAGACTTTTTAGTAGCATGAATAATATAAAAAACAAGCAGCGAAACAGAATGGAGCTAACTCTTTTGAAATCAATTCTAAAAATACGCTGCGGTATACAGTTAATGGGAAAGTGCTACAACAATTATGAAATTCCTTTAAATCTTATAAAACAAATCGGGACGAAGGAGTCATATCAGTCTGATAAGGATAACAGTAAGGCTGAAATGAAAATGCAGATTCATCTGAAGACGATTTATTAATGTAAATAATATCTTAAGCAACTTGATGTTTTTAAGTACTAAAAGTAAAAAAATAATATTAACAACAATAAGATTTTTAATAATAAACGTAATTTTACTTTTTTTTTTGCTTTAATTATATTCATATATCTTAGTGGAAATTTTAGTGGTTTTCAGAGGGGGACATCTTTTTGTTAGTGATTTTCTGGTGGTTTGAGGAGCCTTGTCCGGCGGATTGCTATTTCATCCGTTGGCAACACTGAACGCCATCCTGCCATTCGCAAGGCGTATTTCATTTGTGTTGCGCGTATGTTTTATTTAAAATTTTAAGTTAGATTCAAACACAAAATAACGATGCAAAGGGAGAAACTTATTGAAGAAGTGAGAAAATATCCATATTTATATGACTTAAGTGACGCTAAATACAGTAATAGTATAAAAAAGGACGAGGCTTGGAAACAAATAAGTATTACTTTAAAGCAATCTGGTAAGTACCTACTCCTATTTAATTTTTTATCTAATGTTTTTCGCGTATGTAGGTATGTATGGGAAATAAAACAGTTGTGATTAATATAATTTATGTGATTATTATAATGTAAAATTTAACTGTAATATCCATTAAGAATTAACATTAATATTTAAAGCTAAAAGCTACAATTCTGCCATGGTACTCGTCCGGTAGAAGTTTGAAAATATGTTTTGAACATTTCACGTACATTAAAAGCAGTAGCCATATGGGCACCACTAATATTTGGTAATTGACTTAACAATCGGCCTTCGCCGAATTCAACTGTAATTTCATGTTCTGTTCTGTTCGGTTCCTGTAAATTCATCTCAATGTTATATGTCCTCATCATGTTGTGTAAAATGCAAGTTGTTAATACCACTTTATCTACAAACTTTGTATGCAATTTAATATTTTTGTTGAAATCGCAAATTTTTGATATAAAATTCCAAAAGCGTTTTCAACAACCCTTCTAGCTCGTGATAAGCGGTAATTATATTGCCGTTCAGGATCTGATAGTCTCCGTGTATTTGAGCGAGGATATGGTCTTAATAAATATGTCTTCAATGGAAATGCCTCGTCTCCCACAAATACATGTGGCATTGCATGATTAGTACCTGGTAATGGTTTGTCACATGGAATATTTAATGTGTTTCTTTCAAGTGCCTTTCCAAATGTAGATGACGAATAGATTCCGCCATCGCTGTTTTTTCCATAGGCTCCGACATCAACCGCTATGAATCTGTATTCAGGATCAACTATGGCTAACAAAACAATAGAAAATGTTTTTTTATAGTTAAAAAACAACGATCCACTATTGGGAGGTGCAATTATATTATATGTTTGCCGTCAATGGCGCCTATGCAATTCGGAAAGTTCCATTTATTTTTAAATCCTTCTTCGATTCCTTGCCATGCGGCTGTAGTTGGTTGAGGTATATGAATTGGCATTAATTTATTTATTATTGCATTGCACACATCTATTACTATCAAACGAATAGTTGATTCTCCTAAACGGAAGCTCGATGATAAATTAGTAAATGTAGATCCAGTTATGAAGTACCTGCAACAAAAATGTATATTTATATAATACGTGTATATGTTTATGTGAATGTGTGTGTGTACGTACTCCCTTTCACACATACCTACATTATGTAACTACATGCGCTTGACATAGTTAACCATGATTTATTTTATTTCAGAATCTGAATGCAAGAAAACTTGGTTAAATCTTAGAGAGTCTCACCGACGAGCTATGAAGAAGCGTAAAACTAAGAGTGGTCAGGCAGCCCCGACGACGAAAAAGTGGACCTTTGAAGATGAAATGAGTTTTTTAGTACCTCATTACAAAGAAAGAAATACGATCTCTTCGGTTGATTATGATGACGATTCAGATGTTAGCTTGGGTAATGATGATTCACAGAACTCAATAAACATAATTCAGTCTCCAGAAAACTCACAACCGGAAACTTCTGCACTTTCGCCGCGTCCTAAGTCTTCTGCATCTTCAGTTACATCCAAAACTTCAAAAAAAAAAAAGTTGAAAGCAATTCAGCGTCACAAACTTTAATGAAATATTTATTAAATCACAACGAAACCAAAAAAGAAGATGAGATAGAAACATTTTTTAACAGCATTGCGGCAACGGTTAAAAAAATTTCTGAATATAACCAAGCGGTTATAAAAAGTAAAATATATAACGCAGTTTCGGAAATGGAGTTAAAAGAAATCGCAGAGAAACAAAGCTATTACAGTTATCGCAACCCTTACATTCCCCAAAGAGAAGATGACATGCCTCGAGGTTATACCACTCTAAATAACATTAGCCACGAGATACAATCAACATCTGGCGCTTCAAACATTGATGATTTTAATATGTCAAACTTAGAAGAAAATGGCACGTCAAATGCTGACGATCTTAATACTTCAAACATTCTTTAATTTATACAATGATTGTATTTTTGTTGTAGCGCTATTTTTGTTAAATTGCCATAATTTTTTGATTTTATGATATCTTTTAGAATGATAAAAAAATATGTGATTTATGAGTATTTTTTTTACCTAAACTAAAAAAAAAGTTGCAGTTACTAACCCATACGTTTTGAATATTGTAAAATAGTTGATATAATTTTGGTGTACAATAAAGTATATTCTATTTTATTCTATTCTATTCTTACGCACACACACAAAATATACACACACACATCAGACATAACACGTACACCCCCCGTACACACCTGATCGCTAATGAGGGTTGCGTTCCAAAACAAATAATTTTATCGACAGAGGGTAAAAATTAATCTATCTCGGAGTTTCTACAATCTGTCAAAATTCTTTAATAGATTTTCAACTTTATCGCTAAAGCATTAGGTTCAAAGTTGATTGGGAAAAGCTGGCGTCTGTACAAATATTTTTGTAGACCAGATTAAAAATTCCAAAAACAAATGCAATTTCTCACCTTAACGTTACAGCTAGTTTTTCTTCGGACGATATTGTTTCTCTGAATGTTGTATTCTTCTTCCTTATACATTCATCTATAGACTGCAATATGTTATAAAAGAGAAATTTCGGCATATGAAAATAAATATAAAATTTCTCTTCATCATCCATCAAATGTTTTTTTATAGTCCGAAATTCCCCTTCAGTACTCCTTGCTTTAATAATATTGTGTACCCAATATCTTTTCCTTTTTTCTTGCTATTTTCTTTTTCCTCTTCATCAAGTACTACGGCTATGATAGCCAACTCACGTATTGTAAACCAAGACATAACCGTGCGCTACACTTAAAGTTTGG